CTTCCTAAGTGGAGCACTTTGCATTTGTCTTTGTTAAACTTCATCCTGTTTAACTCAGACCATTTCTCCAATTTGTCCAGATCATTTTGAATTATGACCCTGTCCTCCAAAGCAGTTGCAATCCCTCCCAGTTTGGTATCATCCGCAAACTTAATAATCGTACTTTCTATACCAATATCTAAGTCGTTAATGAAGATATTGAACAGAGCCGGTCCCAAAAACAGACCCCTGCGGAACCCCACTCGTTATGCCTTTCCAGCAGGATTGGGAACCATTAATAACAACTCTCTGAGTACGGTTATCCAGCCAGTTATGCACCCACCTTATAGTAGCCCCATCTAAATTGTATTTGCCTAGTTTGTCGATAAGAATATCATGCGAGACCGTATCAAATGCCTTACTAAAGTCTAGGTATACCACATCCACAGCTTCTCCCTTATCCACAAGACTCGTTATCCTATCGAAGAAAGCTATCAGATTGGTTTGACATGATTTGTTCTTTACAAATCCATGCTGGCTAGTGAGAGTCCCTTCTCCCACTTCAGCCTGAGGTATCCACTGCTTCTCCTGGTCGATTTTCAAGGATTTACTATTGCATGTTAAGGAAAGTTGCCTCCCCAGCTCCAAGCAGGCAATTATCCCTTCTTTGAGAACTGACCCAAAATATTAAAAACTGTTGAAGATCAGAGTGAAAATGGATTGGCCCTTCTTTCCTGTGCTTCCTTTCCTGTTGCATAATAACTGAACAGAGGGGACACTCAATATTAGACCCAGCAAAAGGTCATGCTTCTTCAGGAAGCATGCAGACAATCAAGGACTTTGTGGCCACGGGACGTAATCAAGATCGTGGCTGTGGTTGAATTTTAAAAGGGGCTGAGTAGCTTGCAGACTTACAGTATCTAAAGATTCATAAGCTAAGATAATGAGTTGGGCAATCATTCAGGGTCAGATTCTGCCTGGCAGGTCTGTAATGTAGGTAAGATCATAGGAGCCTCCTCTTATTGTGCAACCTGCATTAGAGCCAGTCAGAATTGCAGGGAATGTGCTCAACAGTGGGCAGGAACTGCTCTGATTTCCCTGGAGGAGGGAGCCAGTCACCCAGAGGGAGTATGCTGTACCCCACAAAGGGGTACTCCTCCAGGGCAGTGGATGCAGTACCTGTGTCCTGCTCAATGCACGATGGTGTTCCATTTGCTTTTACCAGGTCTGATATTAGCCCAGTGTTAGCCGGTCTCATTCTGATTCACTGAGTGCATTTTTTGGTATTTGTTTTCAGTGCCACCAAGTATTTCTGGTTCAGATGAACTCTCCCAACTGGCAGTAATTGAAGGAAGCCTTATCAGTTTGGTATGTGAATCCAGTGGTATTCCACCACCAAGCCTTACCTGGAAAAAGAACAGTGAGTTACCATTGTCAATAGTTACAAAAGAAACTGTTAATTTTCTTCTTGTAATTTTCACCATTTTGCCCCTCAAACACTTTGGGAGGAATTTTCATAGGACCCTAAGAAAATTAAGGTGCTTAAATGCCATTGAAATTCAGTGCTAATTTCAGTGGGATTTCCTTAGGCTCTGTTTACATGCCCAGCCTCAGCGTGATGACAATAGTATTTAGGTACAGTCATTGCCATTTGTGATTTACTGAACTTTCCTTTACCCAGATCAATATTTAGAGGGATCTGTAAATCCTTGTGCTTCAGGGTATAAACTGATCACCAGCATATGTCCCCCCTTATGATTTAGTATTGCACAGTTAGGCCATTTTGAATTTTTCCTCACGATCCTTAAGCATTAACCAGTTGGAGACAGGGTATCAGACAAGATAGAATCATTGAACTGTTCCAATATGATAATTCCTATGTTCTTAATCAGTCCCTGTGTTTAAGTCTAAAAATGCCTTTCCAGCCTGTCTTATCTATTTATCTGTATATCTATGTTCTTTTTAGGGCGCTGTTCTTTGTGGTATCTGAATGCCTGAACCTAACTGAATTTTGTAGGAGTTGTAGGAAAAGAAATGTTTGTTATAAAACACTACTTTTACTTAATAGAATTTTCAGACAAGATTCAATTGTGGCAAATCTTTATTATGATGCGTTATCATTTAGTCATTTTGTCATCTTATAGAAGTTAAAAAGGCAAATACAAGTTGTCTTATTACTGTATATTAAGGCCTACATTTTCACACTCAGGTGCCTAAAATTAAATTAAAAAATTTCAACATTGAGAAAAACATTTGAAAGTGGCAGCTTCATTTTCTGAGCACCCAGAGCTCACACTTCTCAGCACCTTCAAAAATCTCCTCCGTAAACAAATGTACGATTTTCAAATGCACAAATCAGAGATAAGCATCCAAAGTTAGGCATCCAAGTTTGAAAATTTGGGTCTAAGCAACTTCTTTATTTTTATGAGTGGCAACTCTGGGCTCAGATATTTCTAAAAAGAGCTGGTGGAATTTACTGAACAACCTCATTACCATTCTCTGTGGTTTTTATCTGAAAGAATCTCTCTTGCAGGTTCTCCATTGCCGGCTGACCTTACAGGAAGAGTCAGAGTGCTATCTGGAGGCAGACAGTTGCAGATTTCAATTGCTGAAAAATCTGATGCTGCATCCTATGTGTGTCTGGCTTCAAATGTAGCTGGAAACACAAAGAAAGAATACAATTTGCAAGTTTATGGTAGGTCATTATGTAATATTCTCTATATGGTTATCAATCTGGAAAATCAATTACATTATGAAACCTTAATTAGTAAAGCTGTGTTAAGACTGTAAGGTTTTCAGAGAGTGACTTCCAGATGGAACAACATCAGCACAAGATCCTGCTTGCTCAGCCAGAGTGAGGATTAATTTTTGGAGTCACCTGATAAACCTGCTGGCTACATACCATAAGGATATTGATTCAGATCTCAGCTGAAATAATATGTAAGGCACCCTGACAGTGAGTCCAGCCACCAGATGGAAAATTCCTGGAATTGATTGAGTCTGTTCTGATATGTAACAGATACAGATGCAAAAGTGATTTTCACTTGAATTCATCCTGAAAATTACTTTCTGCTGTGATAACATTACATATAGGCTGTGTTTATTTAGGAGTATGTTTTGCATGTGGTGTAATACAGAAATGCTCTGATACACACTTATTACACACGTGTTATACAACAAATACATTATCTGTTATTGTAAATAGTAAAGGACACAATACTGAGACAGCCTAAAAAAAGGTGAGAATAACTAAATACTGAAGTTTTTAAAAATCTTGCAGATATAGAATGCTTTTCAGCCTGAAAAATCCTGTAACATTTCAACAAACAGACACGTTTTGACAAATAGGGAGGAACTGGTTGAGAATTTGAAAGTGGAAGGCAGCTTAGGTGAAAGTAGTAATGAAATGGTAGAGTTCATGATTCTAAGGAATGGTAGGAGGGAAAACAGCACAATAAAGATAATGGATTTCAAGAAGGCAGACTTCAGCAAACTCTGGGTGTTGGTAGGTAAGATCCCATGGGAAGTAAGTCTAAGGGTACGTCTACACTTACCGGAGGGTCCGGCGGCAGGCAATCGATGTTCTGGGATCGATTTATCGCATCTGGTTAAGACGCGATAAATCGATCCCGGATCGATCCCGGAAGTGCTCGCCGTCGACGCCGGTACTCCAGCTCGGCAAGCGGAGTACGCGGCATCGACGGGGGAGCCTTCCTGCCGCGTCTGGACCCGCAGTAAGTTCGGACTAAGGTACTTCGAATTCAGCTACGTTATTAACGTAGCTGAATTTGCGTACCTTAGTCCGAAGTGGGGGGGTAGTGTAGACCAGGCCTAAGGGGAAAAAACAGTTCAAGAAAGTTGGCAGTTTTTCAAAGAGATATTATTACGGGCACATGGGCAAACTATCCCTCTGCGTATCAAGTGGGATCCCGCAGGGATCAGTTCCGCGTTCAGTTCTATTCAATATCTTCATCAGTGATTTAGAAAATGGCATAGAAAGTATCCTTATAAAGTGTGTAGATGATACCAACCTGGGAGGGGTTGCAAGTGCTTTGGTGAATAGGACTAAAATTCAAAATGATCTGGACAAATTGGAGAAATGGTGTGAAGAAAATAGGATGAAATTCAATAAGGACAAATGCAAAGTACTCCACTGAGGAAGGAATAATCAGTTGCACACATCCAAAATGGGAAATGACTGAGTAGGAAGGAGTACATCAGAAAGGGATCTGGGGATCATAGTGGATCACAAACTAAATATGAGTCAACAGTGTAATACTGTTGCAAAAAAAGCAAACATAATTCTGGGATGTATTAGCAGGAGTGTTGTTAGCAAGACATGAGAAGTAATTCTTCAGTTCTGTTCCGTGCTTATTAGGCCTCAACTGGAGTATTGTGTCCAGTTCTGGGTGCCACATTTCAGGAAGGATGTGGACAAATTAGAGAAGGTCCAGAGAAGAACAACAAAAATGATTAACGGTCTAGAAAACATGACCTATGAGGGAAGATGAAAGAAATTTGGTTTGTTTAGTCTGGAGAAGAGAAGACTGAGAGAGGACATGATAACAGTTTTCAAGTACATAAAAAGTTGTTAGAAGGAGGAGGGAGGTAAAATGTTCTCCTTTAACCTCTGAGGATAGGACAAGAAGCAATGGGCTTAAATTGCAGCAAGCATGGTTTAGGTTGGACATTAAGAAAAGCTTCCTAACTGTCGTTAGGGGGCCAGCTGTGGTCACTGAATTAGGGTGAACTGCAAAGAATGGGGCAGCCAACCAATACTTAGATTTACCAAGACTGCATAAAGCAGCTTCTTTATTACCTTACTGATTACTCAGAAGTCCAAACAACACAGTTCCCTTAAAGTGATCCAGCCTCAGGCCTCCATCCAGGTACCTAAGTCAAATATAATGATTTCTGAAAATCTTATTTCATCATATAAAAGAAAAGGTTCTACTAATCTCAAAGGCTCGGACACATTAGCTCCCAGGTTATTGAATATTCCAGATCTTACCCAAATACATGCTACAGCCAATTCTTATTAACTAAACTAAAATTTATTAAAAAACAAAAGAGAGAGAGAGAATGGTTAAAAGATCAATATACATACAGACATGAGTTCAATTCATTGAGGTTTAGATTCATAACAGAGATGGTGAGCTTTGTAGTTGAAAAGAGTTCCTTTAGAATTTAGTTTGTAGGTTATAGTCCAATGTCCAAATATCATATTCAGGGCATATCAGCATAACTGGGACCTCAGTCTTGCAACTCAAACTTCCCTGATGAAGCTTAAGCAGAGCTGAGATGGCAGAATCAGGACCTAAGGATCTTTTATACAATTTAATGTCCTTTTTGACAAGTTGGGGATTCCTCTGGGAACAAAAGGTAATTAGGATGACTTTGAAGGGGGTCCATAACCGGAACTTAGCTACAGAATTAACATAAGGCAATTTGCTTGTTCCTCCACCATTCACAGATTATTTGCTATACATTTCAAAGAGAGATGAATACAGAGATATCCCATGTTTAACAATTCATTTAAATGCTAGGATGTTCTTTTGATCTCTGAATTATCAGACTACAGCATAGACAGGGACTGTTGATTACATTGTCAACCCTACTCCTGCATATGTAAATACACAAAAACACAAACATTATCTTCCTACATGTCTTTTGAGGGTTATTTATTTTTCAGGGTGTTTAACCCTTTCTGGCCATGCGTCACAGTAGTTAAGCACTGGAATAAATTGCCAAAGGAGGTTGTGGAATCTCCATCTTTGGAGGTTTTTAAGAGCAGGGTAGACAAATACCTGTCAGGAATGGTTTAGATAATACTTAGTCCTGCCATGAGTGCAGGGGACTAGGCTAGATGACCTTTCGAGGTCCCTTCCAGTCCTATAATTCTATGTTTATAAAGTGGTTTGGGATCCTTACACACAGGCAGGAATCACTTCACCTACCACTGAAATGTAGCTCCCTTTACGTTGAAACCTACCTACAGCAGCTCAACACAACTATTTGGGACTGGAACTAAATAAGAATGAAGCAACCATTTGAAACTGCAAGGTGAATATTAAGTCATTAAAATGCAATTAATACTTTAACTGGAAATAAGCCAAAATACTAGGATTAATACTTATATTCTTGTGAAAAAGGCCATTGACCACAAGTGGTAAAGACATTTTTACATGCTTATGTTTTTTCACATCTTAGCTTCAGTAGCACAGTGTCTCCTGACACCAAGCATTATCTGAGTACCGACTCAGAAGACAGAGTGCAACCTACTGAATTGCCAGCACCACTTTCTGCAGCAGTGAGGTGTTTCTTGGTGATCTCCCTTTTAAGTACTTCACTCATTCTTATGTGTAAGAATCAGTGCACATTCTGAACCTCCGCTTCTCATGCTAAAGTTCTACATTTTGTTTCCTTTTCTTTAATAGTTCGCCCAACTATACTGAACAGTGGGAACCACCCGTTCGAAGTTGTTGTAACCCGAGGGAATAATGTTTCACTGGAGTGCAAAGTACTGGGTAACCCACAGCCAGCAATAACCTGGATGAAAGATAGTCGTCCCCTTGTCAACGGGAGGGGAGTAGAAATACTGAATGATGGACATCTTCTTCAGCTGAAGAACGCCCAAGTGTCTGACACTGGCCGCTACGTGTGTGTGGCTGTGAATGTGGCAGGACTGACTGATAGGAAATATGATGTAAACATTCATGGTGAGTAGGGGAGATGAATGGAGCAGGCAAGGTAGACACAGATATGTTTTCAGGTTTACCCGGGGGCAGTAAGGAAACAGTTGTCATATTGATGTAGATGTTCCAATTGTGCCTATCACATGCTCTAGGCACATTACATAGATTAAAGCACAAATGTTATTTTAAAAAACAAAACAAATACAAATCTTCTAACCCCTAAACATAGCCCTCCTAAAATCAAACCAACCCCTGTCTCCATCCCAGCTTCATCCTAAAGAAAAAGCTGGGAAAATAGGTCTTGTGGAGCATCCTGAAGGTAATCAAATCTGGGCTCAGATCCTCTAAGATAGGAAATGAGTGAGAAACCAAGAAAACTCTGCTGCTCGTCCTCACCTGATAAAACTAGGTGGATGTTAGCTTGGATGCACTGAAGAATCACAGCTGCTAAGGTATTGCATGAGGATAGAGACAGTTTCTCAAGTAGTCAGGATGCAAACCAGTTAGGACTTTACAGGTTAAAACCAAACCTTAAACTTCATTCAGAAATCAGCTGGTAGCCTATGTAGGTTATGGAGCACAAGTGTGCATGTGCATCCAGCAAGAAGGAACAATTAATGAGCAGGCACTAGCTGCAGTATCAGAATGGTTTCATTTATAGCCCCAGGTAGAGTACATTTCAGTAATCTAACTTCAGTGGCATGGATTACAGTGGAGTATCTGCATTTAAAAGAAAAGCCATGGTATGTGATTTCAAAAATCACTGTGTCCAGTCTGTGTCCAGTCTGATTCAGAATGGGACTTTATCTACACTCTGGCTATCCTTCCTGTTTCATCAGACACAGGTTATTTGACTACCGGGTTAGGGTAGCTACTGTATCAATGGATGAGGATGACTGATTATCATCACTAACATGATCTGTTTGACAAGTATTCTGCCACAGATCCCACTGAAACACGAAGGTTTATGAACATCTTGAGATAACGGGAGCCATGCAGCCCATCTCCAATTCTAAAGTCTTCCTATAAAATGAGAAAGGGAAACAGCAACTAGAGAAGAAAGGGAGAGGAAGAGAGAGAAAAAGATAGAAATTAAGTTGAAAATGAAAATAAGTTCATTTCTGTAATTATTAAAAAAGAGAGGTGAAAATTACACTGGGGTTCTTTCTAGTTGGAAGCCTCTGGGGTGGCAAATTTTCTTTTTTTACTTCTAACACTTCTCTTATTTTAATATTAAACTTGGATGTATCGAAGAGAAAATTGTAAACTTAATATGGTCGCAGTCTCAGATCTGTTCCTAAGCCTGAACTTCCTGCATGGAAGTGTGAAATGTGGAACCGTGCAAAACATCAAATTATTCCTCTTCCTAACAATGAAAAACCGACAAGAGATTTACTATTGTTATTTAAATCCCTGAAAGGGGGGGGGGTAGATCATATTTTTGCTTTTTCTATTAGAAAAAGTACAGTATTCTGTCAGTCTGACACAATTTTTCTTAACAGTTCACTAGCTGTAAAATGGACATAGCAAGCAAAATGTAATATTGTGTACTAACTATGATTCTGAACCCACAAAAGGATCTAAGGGGATTGATATAATCAGGTCCAAGGTGTTTATATCTTCTGCCTTTGTGACATGATGTCTCAATAATATGAAGACTGAAAATGTTAAAATGATGGTACTTTGCTACTATGTAACTAGAATAGAAAAATGAAGTTACTCTGCAACTGTGCAGTCCCATACTGGTCAGGATGGTTTTAGCTGCAGTGAATTAATTTGTTAGTTTAAAGAATGTGGTGTGTCTTATCCAGAATTAATCTTAGTTATTTTTATTCAGTGTTACTAGGTGTGTTTTTTCCTTTGTTTTGCTTTGTAGTCCCTCCAAGTGTTGTAGGTGACCTGGAAGTGCCTGAAAACATCAGCACGGTGGAGAAAAATCCTGTCTCTCTGATCTGTGAAGCATCTGGAATTCCCCTGCCATCAATAACATGGCTCAAGAATGGAAGGCCTATCCCCTTGAATAGCTCTGTGAGAATTCTGTCAGGTACAGTTGAGAGTCTGATCTGCTAACAACACAAGCAGAAATAGGAATTCTTGCTGAGTGCTTGTCCATTAAAGAAAGACACACATAGCTTAGGGTCAGATTGGCTGCAGCATTTATTAAATAGCCAGTTGAACCAAATCTGAACCAAGCAGAAAGTTCTTACCAAATTTCATTTAGAGCTATGCTAACTTGTGCAGATCTGAGAATCTCAGAGCTGTTGCAATGCATGGCTTGCAGCCCAGTATCCAGTGGTGTGCAAGAGCTAACATCTACAAGTGAGATCCCACTCTGGGATTTGACAACCTGTTGATTGGTCCAACCTGGTAAGGGCCTATGCATAGGAACATTTATCTCCAGAGCCATTTCAAATGGTAACAGCTTACCTTGTGGGTGCTGATAGGTGTGAGGCTCTCAATGTGCATGTGCCCCATGAAGTCAGTTCACTTAATCAAGCTTTTACCTCTGGATCATATTTTTTTTGTTTTTGTTTTTTGTTTTTGTTTTTTTTGGCAAGGACTCACTAACTGAGCATAAAACAGAATGAAAACCCAAATAATAAGAGAACTTTCCCTTGAATATATGTGGGTCTGCAGTGACTCTAAATACCAGAACCAGAGGAAAACCTGCTTGTGTGCCCTTGGATTTAAAGTGGTAAATTCCTTTTTAACCTCAAAGCCAATCAGATCTAATCCTAGAGCAAATACAGAACAAGAAATTAAGATGGTTTGATAAGTCAGAGCACCTTCTGATAAAAGCCAAAAAAGACAGCCCTTGGGCACACCATACAGCAGATCATCAGCTGGAATGAAAGGAAGTACAGGCTTTTGAGTGCCTAACCTATAGCCAAGCAGGTGGGGAAACATGTCCCCTCCCGAGGCAGAGAGCTAGGAAAAAGCTTGTTGCATCTAGAGGAGCCCCATTACACTAAGGCAGGAGAAATGTCCCAGGCAATCAACCCTTATGACTTTGGACTCTGCCACTGGCCGATCTGATTGGCCAGTCATCTAAGTGATAGCTGCAGGTGCAATTGGGATCTTTGACTTCTAACCTCAGTCTGCTGGGGCCACCTAGAAAGGCCTGGCCCTTGTACTTTTTTTCCTGAGGGGAGGATTGACACAAGAGTGTCCTAAGTGAGAAGACTGTGATTTCCATTCCAATGAACCACATTGCTCCAAGACTGCAGAGAGGGGAGAGAGCAGCCTCCTGCATGACTGACACCTGCAGTGTTACTCTGCATGTGATCGCTGTTTGGTAACTTCATATTTAAAATACATAATTGACTTAGCAGCTCTGAAGCTAACAAAGGGATATATGGACTCAATCGAAAACACTTTGAAGTTGATGAGAGTCTTTGCATAGACTTGCGTTGGCTTTGGCTCAGGCCCTTTTCAATGTTCAAGTATTAAAGGATGACCTGTGCAAGGTTTGGCAGCTGAGTGTGGCTGGGAGAAACTGATAAAAGTTAGGATGCTTCTCTTAAGTTGGGTCTGCAAAACTGGACTGGAAATCTAATGAGAAGTGATTTTCATGAAGTTTCTAGTTCTTCTGGTTGGGCCAGATGCATTACCCAAAGCAGCCCCTCTCTTGGGATTTCAGCCCCTCTGTTCTCAAACTTGCCCAGAACTTGGAAGAGGAGCATGAACATGGAAAAATAATGGAAAACAAACAGAACCTTGTCAGAAGTTCAAAATAGTTTGTTTAAAACTTGAATCTGGAGATTTGGAGGATATTTTATTTTATCTGAAATAATTTTCCCATCTCTACACTTGAACATAAAAGGTTAGTCCTATTTCCAGTTATATGTTCCCTTTCTTAGCCACAGTATGTATGAAAAGGGTTTGGGTGTCTGGTTATTATGTGACATAAACCTTATTTTTTGATCTGATGTTGGCTTTCTGTTGTGTAGATGATATTGCCATCACCTCAAACAACCTCTTTTGAGATCAGTTGTTTCCATTCTGTCCATTGATTGCTTCAACCCACTCTGATGTCACTAACCACAGTGGTCAGTCACTGCTGAGCTCAGAGAGATGAGCCATGGAAAGTCCTCAAGTTATCCCTGAATGTTGGTGAAGGGGGAAACTAACAACAACCCCACGCCTTGTTTTCTTGCGAACTTTACATGCTGGTGTGTAATCACTCAGGAAAACTGCACAGAGTGGTGATGAATTCTGTTTTTTTGTTTTTATGGCCTTAGAGTTGAAGTTTGGAGTTTTCTTTGGTTTTGCTTGTGAAGATGCTGAGGGAAGAATCCCTAAATTAATATCTTAAAATAGTTCACCCTTTAACTCTGCCAAAACAATTCAGTTCTGTAGATCAAAAGCATGCTTTGTGTGGCAGGGGATCAGAAACTGATTGAGTGGCCCACATACTGCTTCCATTCACTCTGAATCCTCCTCTGTTTGTCCATGTTTTTTCTGATATGGTTCCTTTTAAAAACATGGGAAAAAACCCATCATATCACATCTGCATGAAGATAGATAATAGCTGTAGGAAATGGAAGAGCTTTTAGTAAGTTTTAGTATATATATGATGGGGCCAAACCCTGCCAGCAAAGCTGTGCAACTTTTGCTGTGCAAGTGTGGGGAGGACAAGATACGAGGGAAGACACACAGCCCTCTGCAGATGTTTGCTCAGTACACCGCTCAGAGGATGTTGATGGAGGAGAAGCAATCAACATAATAAGAAATTACCTTTTGCCTACTAAAATTGTTACCTATTTTTATGGATAATACCTAAAAATAATATTAAAATTAGAATATATTAGAGGACATTTAAAAAAATTCTCTTCTTAATTTATGTATTTGATAGCATCTTGTGTTTAGTACATTTGTTTTCCATGTGTAGCCAGCGAGGTGTACACCAAAGCACTTATATAGGTGATAGTCCCACTAACTCCAATGGGAATAGTCACATGATCAAAGTTAAGCACAGGCATAAATGCTTTACTGGATTAGGGTCTGATCCTGACCCAGTGTAATCAATGGGAGTTTTGCCAATGATTTCAAAGGAAGCAGAATTGAGCCCAGTCAGTTTCTACTGTTTGAGAGTCTTTTACATAGCATCAGGAGATAATTTATTTTTAAACGTGATTGTAAAATCACAAAAATGATTTGGATGCATTCAGTGTGGGATTTTTGGCATCCTTTATTTGTTTTGGAGGCTATTTTAATACCTGTATATTCTTGTGGCTTTTCTCTTCAGGGGGTAGGACACTACGTTTAATGCAGACTAAAGTGGAAGATGCTGGTCAATATACCTGTATAATAACCAATGCTGCAGGAGAAGCAAGGAAACATTTTGGCCTTTCAGTTTTAGGTAAGTATATGATTTTGATGAAAGTAGATAAAAAGTGTCATACTGTATGTTTCACCAGCATATATATTAAAGTTTATACATAGTTCCTCTTAGGGCTTGTCTAGATGAACAGTTAGCGCATAGCAAGCTGGATCTGTATCTACAGTGCACTAGCGTGCCATGCACTGTTCAGGTAGACCCTCCTACCATGCACTAAAAGTTCCCTAAAGCACTTTCATCTACTCCGCTTTGAAAAAATTCCCTAGTGTGCCACATGCTAGTGTGCTGTAGATTTACACCCCAAGTTGCTGCGCACTAAATGTTCTTCTAGACAAGCCCTACGAAAAGTGAAAGTTCACTTGATAACGATCTGAAAATCAATTTTAAACAAGTCAGACTTACATGTAAACTGGCCATGGTTTCATTTGAAAATTAATATCATTTAGGCATGACAACATATAATGGAATCACTGATAACTACTTATTTTCAGTTTGTAAAAATTACAGCAGTATACACAGTAAACCATGTGAAACTTAATACTGTGAATCCATTTCATTCAGTGCCAGAGCTCAGAGAAACTCTCAGGGTAAAACCTCATGGGCACTGAACAAAATGTTTGTGCAAAACCTTTGTGAACTGAAACAGCCAAGTTTTATACTACTTTCGATATAAAGGAAATAGAATAAAGAGTGGTTACAGGATAATGGTCTGCTGTAACATAATTGTAAAGGAAAGGCCCAGGCCTACAATGAAAATAAATGGTGGAGCTGAGCTGAAGGTGGAACCAAAACCTTTACCTGCAAAATCTGTGCTCCACTGAAAACCTTCCATGGCTATGACTTTATTTCTAGAAAGTGATTAAACAATGCATGCAGTAATGGCTGAGCCAGCCAGCACAGTTAAACAGGCTCGGGTATAACGAACTTTGTAGTACAATTACCCAATATGCTGTATTATATAATTTTGTCAGTCACAAACTTTTTTTTTTTTAAGTTACATTTTCCCCAGGAATGTGCATAAATTTGGGGTGGCATACTATTTCCAGATTAGTAGTCAGTATTATTTTTTAATCAGCAAGTAATTGTCAGGCATCCTGAAACTTGACTGACAATCACACTATTTGGCAGGATAATACTATAAGCTCTTGCTTTTCTAATGTGCTGAGCAATGTGTGCTCTCATTGACTTCAGCTGGAGTTGTGGGTCTTCAGCCCTTCTGAAAGTCAGACCCTAAGTGGTAACTATATTCTGTCCATTCAGGTTTATTTGATCAGCTCAGGCACGTGGAAAAATGTAAGAGAGGAATAAGCAGTAAAAGTATTCATCATTTCACTGTTTTCATCAAATGGTTCTAACTTTAACAGAAGTATGCCAGTGATGGAATTGGGAACCTCGCTACAATAGTCTTCACTTGCCTTGAGCAGAAATGCTAAGTGAAACCTATCTTAATTGGGTTACATGGAAATTTGCAGGATGGAAGCCTCTTCTGTTTTCCTTTTTTGTATTTATTTTTGCATTCTAATAAGTTATTCGTATTTCAAAGGGCTAGTTATAGGAATTAAGCCATAAGGTACATAGAGTATACCCCAAGTTAAACAACTAAATGCTGTAAACAGAAGGTACCACAGAGCTACTAACAGCCCATTCTGATACTGGCAGTCAAGCTGGCATTTGTTTCCATAAATCACTTTGTAGCAGGCAGGCAATCCAGATTGTTCAGACATGTTGGTGTGGAATTATTAGTATTATATTTGCAAAAAATATTTGAGGTAACTATGTCATATTTTTCTAAAAGTCTGGAATAATTTAATGTTGATAATTTACTGAATTAATTTGGAGACAAGGTTGTGTTGTGTGTATGTAATTCTTTTTTTTTTTAAATTTATTGTGAGCAGTAATAGTTGGCCCAACTTTCCTCAAACCAGTCCTGAGCTTGTCTGATTTCATCTGTCATTTTTTCCATGTCTCCCATTTATTGTTTTTGTCTAGTCACATTTTAATGTAGAACTCTCATAAAAGCCTTTTCAGCAGTGCTCATACACTCAGACTAAGAGGGTTTGGCTCTAATTTCATCACACTTGGCAAGGATGTGCCATGTATTAGCCATGTCTGCTTGTCCACTGACCTTACCACCATGCTGAGTCTGCCAGTAACCATCACCCCACGCCACTAAGCACATTGTGCAGAGGACAAGTTTTAGCCACTGACAATGAAGTAGTTTCTCCAGCTTTCAGCCCATGGTTTGAGTTGTAGGCTTGATTTATTTTTGTTCTCCCACTTTCATTTTAAACTCTTTTACTCCTTATCAGGTGCTTAAGATCTCATCTAATTTACTATTTTCTCATCAGTTTAAAGTAAATTCTATATCTTGAAATGTTTTTTAAAAATTAACTTTCACTTCCAAATTACTGGTAACACAGCTAAATTGTGTGAAAGCAAAAAATTCTTCACTTCCTGTCTTTCTGGTGTATCTAGCTATCTAGAGTCCAGTCCTGCTGTGATGGTTCGGTCACAGAGACCCCCCTTGGGACTGTCACCTGACATGCTGAAATTATCTCGAGCCCATTTTCCCTGCCAGTTGGGACTCCAGAACCCTGCCTTGTTGAGCCAGACACGCTAGTTTGCTGCAACACAGACCCGGGGTCTTGTTGGAAATAGGTAACCTGCTGAGTTGAAAACCACTCAGCAGGTTACCTATTTCCAACACCTACACACCCAGTTCCCAATGGGATCCAAACCCCAAATAAATCCATTTTATTCTATATAAAGCTTATACAGGGTAAACTCATAAATTGTCTGTCCTCTATAACACTTATAGAGAGATTTTATTAAGTATAAAAAGTAGGATTTAAGTGGTTCCAAGTAATAACAGACAGAACAAAGTAAGTTACCCGGCAAAATAAAACAAAACATGCAAGTCTAAGCCTAATACATTAAGAAATTGATTACAAGTAAAATCTCACCCTCACAGATTTTCCAATAAGCTTCTTTCACAGACTAGACTCCTTCCTACTCTGGGCCCAATCCTTTCCCCTGGTACAGTCCTTGTTCCAGCTCAGGTGGTAGCTAGGGGATTTCTCATGACTGCCTCCTTTTTTCTGTTCCACCCCCTTTTATAGCTTTGGCACAAGGCTTTGTCTCTCTGGGTCCCCACCCCTCCTTCTAAATGGAAAAGTACCAGGTTTAAGATGGATTCCAGTATCATGTGACATGGTCACATGTCCTGTGAGACCCCCAGCCTCCATTCTTCCTGGGCTGGCCTACACATACACAGGAAGGTTTGCAAGTAAACAGAGCTATTTACAGCCAATTGTTCTAGTCAGTGGGAGCCATCAAGCTTCCAAACCACCATTAATGGCCCACACTTTGCATAATTACAATAGGACCTCAGAGTTATACTTCATATTCTCAGTTTCAGATACAAGAATGATACATTCATACAAATAGGATGAACACACTCAGTAGATTATAAGCTTTGTAACGATACCTTACAAAAGACCTTTTGCATAAAGCATATTCCAGTTGCATTATATTCACACTCATAAGCATATTTCCATAAAACATTATGGAGTGCAATGTCACACCTGCACTATTTGGGTTTACATGAGGGTAGAATTTGGTCCCTAGTTCATCTTCTCTTCCTTCCCAGTTACGAAGCTCTCTCTAAATCCCTTGTTATACTTCAGAGAACCAACCAGTCCTCCTTATAGCCATGTTGCCTCCTCTTCTTCAGCCTCTATGCTTTATTAGTGCTCTGAGTCCTAACTCCTTTTTCCTTTGCCCAAGTACTACAAAATGCTTCATTTAAAGAAACAATTGCTTCTCCAAAACCATAGAGTTAACTGTGTTGTGCATTTCCCAACAATAAATGAAGCATATTGTGCCAATGGGGTGGCTCACAAATGGGAGTAAGAGGTTCACAGCTTGCCTCCTGTCATTGTTAATCATGTTGGTGCACATACTAATGAACCAGTTTTCATGTGCCTTGTCTATTTATGCACAGTACTGAAAATATAGGGGTTGTTTCCAGGAAATTAGGCTCTAAAGCTGCAGATGAATGAGAGTGAGTGTGGGTAGCAGTGGTGCAAACATTATCGTCCTGATTCTGATTTTGCTTCTTCTTGCATAAACCAGGGGTTACTCTCCTGAAATTAGTGGGGAATTAAACTACTGTGAGTGAGAGGAGGATTTATCTTGGCCTGTATTTCTTGTTTGTGTATAATTTGCACAGATGTGTGTTTTCTATATGCACACAGGTGGTTAGAAATAGAACAGACTTTGGGTCAGACTGCAGGTCGACCTTTGAGCAAGTGCTCAAGTGGTAACAGAGGTCATGAGCAGATTCTCTCCTGTGTTCCCCTGCAGGGCTAGTCACAAATGTAGTCCTTGTATTGAGGGTGCAAGGACTGCTCCTCACCAGCACGTCACAAGGACTAGCCAGCTCAAAAGGAGCAAGCAGGGGAGACTGAGGTGGGGGTGCTGGCTGGTTGTAGAGTGGAACATTTTGTTACCTGTAAATCCTGCTGGGATATTGTAAGTCTTCTCTGTTGCCAATGTGGGCCTGTTCCTAGTAGGTCTGATTAAGCCATTTGTTATTTTTATATGAAAGAAACAATACGTTCAGACACAGAGACAATGTCTTCGGGCAAGACTACACTTACTACATTGGTGCAGCTGCATTGAGGCCTGGTCTACACTACGATTTTAGGTCGAATTTAGCAGTGTTACCTCGATTTAACCCGCACCCGTCCACATGATGAAGCCCTTTTTTTCGACTTAAAGGGCTCTTAAAATCGATTTCTTTACTCCACCTCCGACGAGGGGATTAACGCTGAAATCAGCCTTGCCAGGTTGAATTTGGGGTAGTGTGGACGCAATTCGACGGTATTGGCCTCCGGGAGCTATCCCAGAGTGCTCCATTGTGACCGCTCTGGACAGCGCTCTCAACTCAGATGCACTGGCCAGGTAGACAGGAAAAGTCCCGCAAACTTTTGAATTTTATTTCCTGTTTGGCCAGCGTT